AGAGGTACCAGGCCAGAATTAAAGCTCATTGGTGAAGTAATATGGGAGACATTTGAGTGTGGCTGCCAACGCTATGCCTGTTCTGTGGATAATACTTGCTAGTAATTCATATGCTATAATTATAATATCTTTTTGTTCTTTTGTTCCTGCTTCGCAAAACTAACATGGCTTAAACTCGCATAATTAAATATTTTAAGCCAAGAGGTACCAGGCCAGAATTAAAGCTCATTGGTGAAGTAATATGGGAGACATTTGAGTGTGGCTGCCAACGCTATGCCTGTTCTGTGGATAATACTTGCTAGTAATTCATATGCTATAATTATAATATCTTTTTGTTCTTTTGTTCCTGCTTCGCAAAACTAACATGGCTTAAACTCGCATAATTAAATATTTTAAGCCATTAAGTCTCCCTGCTAGTGGGTGGCTTGAGCATACCTGCTGATAAGATATAATACTACTAATAATATAATACTTACCCTACTACATGTCAATTCCTTTTAACATGAAAATGGTAACACAAAAGATGTAAGAAAATATCTTCATCTTTGCAGGTAAAATGGGTGGATGAGTGAGAGCCTACTAAAATTATTTCCCTCTTCTCCAGAAATAAGTAATTCTAACAGATCCTACTATTGGAAACTAAAATGTTCTAGGGAAGTTTCAGAAACCAAGTAGGAAATTTAAAAAAAGTTTATAGGAAAAAAGCACAATGGAAATTAACTACATTGCAAGGCAACAGGCACAGAATGAAACATTAATAAGAAAAATCTTTCTTTCATATAGTTGAGAGCAAGACATCTCTAAATAAAGAGATAACACAGTAAAACTAATTTTGAAACATCTCTTTAAAAATATACACCTTCTGGGCAGAGAGAGTAAATTGTCACTCAACTCAGAAACAGATTTCATAATATAGGTAAGTGTAATGGAGTCTTGGAAAACTATACAGAAAAAAGAACATAAGAATGGCCACACAGGGTCAGACCAACAGTCCATCCAGCCCAGTATCCTGTCTGCCAACAGTGGCCAATACCAGATGCCCAAGAGGGAGGGAACACAACCGGTAATCCTCACGTGATCCCTCCCCTGTCACCCACCTCCACAGAAACAGAGACTAGGGACACCATTCCCACCCATCCTGGCTAATAGCCAATGATGGACCTAACCTTCATGAATCTACCTACCTCTTTTTTTAAACCTGTTAAAATCCTAGACTTCACCATATCCTCTGTGAAAAAAACTTTCTTTTGTTTGTTTTAAACCTGCTGCATATTAATTTCATTTTGTGACCCCCTAGTTCTTATATTGTGGGAATAAGTAAATAACTTTTCCTTATTCTTTTTCCACACCAGTCATGATTTTATAGTCCTCTATCATGTCCCCCCTTCATCTCCTCTTTCCTAAGCTGAAAAGTCCAAGTCTTTTTAATCTCTCTTCATATGGGACTTGTTCCAAACCCCTAATCATTTTTGTTGCCCTTTTCTGAACCTTTTCCAATGCCAATATTTTTTTTTTTAAATGAGGTGACCACATCTGTTTACAGTATTCAAGATGTGGGCATATCATGATTTTATACAGAGGCATTAAGATATTCTCTGTCTTATTCTCTATCCCTTTTTTAATGACTCCTAACATTCTATTTACCTTTTTGACAGCCACTGCACACTGAGTGGATGTTTTCAGAGAACTATCCACAATGACTCCAAGAGCTCTCTCTTGAGTAGTTATAGCTAAATTAGTCCCCACCATATTTTATATATAGTTGGGATTATTTTTTCCAAGGGACAATACTTTACATTTCTCAACATTATATTTCATTTGTCATTTTGCTACCCAATCACTTAGTTTAGTGAGATCTTTTTGGAGCTCTTCACAGTCTGCTTTGGTCTTAACTATCTTGAGCAGTTTGGTATCATCTGCAAATTTTGCCACCTCACTGTTTACCCCTTTCTCTAGATCATTTATAGATAAGTTGAATAGGATGGGTCCCAGGACAGATCCTTGGGGGACCCCACTAGTAACCTCTCTCCACTAGGAAAACTTACCATTTATTCCTACCCTTTGTTTCCTGTCTTTTAACCAGTTATCAATCCATGAAAGGACCTTTCTTCTTATCCCATGACAACTTACTTTGCTTAAGAGTTTTTGGTGAGGGACCTTGTCAAAGGCTTTATGGAAATCTAAGGGTACGTCTACACTACCACCCTAGTTCGAACTAGGGTGGTAATGTAGGCAACCGGAGTTGCAAATGAAGCCCGGGATTTGAATTTCCCGGGCTTCATTTGCATCTCGCCGGGTGCCGCCATTTTTAAATGTCTGCTAGTGCGGTCTCCGTGCCGCGCGGCTACACGTGGCACGGACTAGGTAGTTCGGACTAGGCTTCCTAGTCCGAACTACCGTTATTCCTCGTTTCACGTGTAGCCGCGCGGCATATGTAATAGGGCTAGGCCCTAAGGCCAAAAGGGCCAAAAAGAAGTCCTCCTAGCAGCTAGAGAGGCTAAAAAAAACCCAGCCAATCAAGGGCCAGGAGGGACTACGAAAGGATCTGCAAGATTAGTGGCAGCTCAGTTGCAGCCTAGACCTGGGGGAGAGAAGGTCAGGTCAGGTTAGACTGGCAGAACCACGCTCAGAGTAGGGAGCTGTTTAGAACATTGTCTCCAGGAGGGGAAGCCCTGGAGGCACCACTCTCATAGGGTATGTCTATATTGCATTCCTCTTCCGAGAGAGGAATGCAAATGCAGACAAGCAAAATTGCACAGGAAGCGTGGATTTGAATTTCCCGCGCTTCATTTGCATAATCGCAGACCGCCACTTTTCTGAAACAGCGTCTCCTCAAGGGCTATTTCAAAGGAAAATAACCCCACAGGGACTGCGTTTGTTTTCTTGAAAGACGCTATTTCGAGAAATTCAAATTCACGTTTCATTTGCAATTTCGTTTGTCTGCCTTTGCATTCCTCTATGCAATGTAGACATACCCATACTGAGTGCGGAAACAGACTATGAGACTGAACTGATAGACTACAGAGGGCACCAGAATGGGCCCCTGGTAAAGTATGTTCCCTGGAAGGGGTTTGAGTATTTCACAGAGTGTGACTCAGCCTGAGGGCTGAGTAGCCAAAGTCTTTTAAAAAGAGTGCAGACAAACACATTCAACCAAATGGGGCTCACTCGTGGGAGGTGAGTGCCACCCCATCACACCATACTTCTAGATCTGCTTCTGCTATGCTGCGTACTATTGCTATCCCACCTTTCCTGTACCAAATGCAAAGCACCAATCAGAAGGAGTCCTGCAGCAGTAGGAAGATGGTGTTGTATCCACTTAATCGTATGTGTTTGTGTCTATGAACAGCAAACATTTCCTCCCTGCCAGGTCTATACTACTGAATCCTACAGCAACACAATATCTTCTCTCTTATGGTTTCCTTTCTAAATATTTCAGTAGAAAATCTAGATATCTCATATTTCCCCAGTTATCAGTGCCACTGATCACAGTTTTCAAAGACAGTTGATTCTTACCAGTTTCCAATGAAGCGAGGGTCACTCTGGTCAATATAAACAGTCGTTCGAGGATCAACATAAAAACCGATAAGAACTCCTCCAAGTAAATATCCTGCTGCAGGACCAAGTGCTCCCATTACATACATGATGGCTGAGAAAATACAAGAGAAAAAACACATATTATGCTAAATCATGCATTATAATAAACATGCTTTTCAATCATTCGTTATATTTTAAAAAGTATGTTGCAAAAGATGAAACTGGGGGTTGATTCACTTAGAACTTAGGCACTTATATACATCTCTTGGTGTCTAAATCCCAGACAGAATTGACAAAACTCTCACTCAGCTACCATCAAAGCCTGTAGGTGCCTAAAAATGTCCAGAGTGTACATTTTTTCAGAAAATGTTGTCTAGGCACTTATGGTTCTTCCTCTAGGGCTATTGTCTACAGTGCATCCCTCTTGCACAAAAGCCTATGCAAATGAAGTACAGATTAGCATATTGCTGTGCTTCATTTGCATAATTAATTAGGGGCCGCTTTTGCGCAAAAAGGAGCCATTTACACAGCTTCTTTTTGCGCAAAACACCCTTTTGCGCAAGAGCCGTTCTTCCTCATTTTTTCAGAAACTGATAATCCTTATGGCAAAAGTCTCCACTGCCATGAATACACAGGATGGTTTAGTGATTGCTCAGAGGACTAAATTGAGGGTTCAAATTTGGAAGGTGTGAGGGCCAAGCCAGTCTCAATCATTTAAATGCCCTTTGGAACCTGACAATAGGTGTTGAGATAAAAGTTCCTCTTTTCTTCTAGGATGGTAAAGCCCTAATGTTGCGCTTAGACCCACATGGAGTAAGAAATCAGGTCCTTGTGAAAGAAGAGAAGAAAGTCAATAAAGATCTTAACTGATGACTAGTTCAGATCCCTACCATGGGAACACGAAGGTGGATTACATCAGGTAGTACATGTAATACAGTGGCTAAGTCATGTGGTCATATGTCCACATTGAAAATAATAACCTGCTGCTTTCTGGCAGTTAGCAAAATAAATTTTCTATTATAGCTCCAACAGTAAGAACTAATAGTAAAATTTATCACTTTAGCACAAATGGTAAGGGTTTGTGCTTTTCTTGTTGAAATCCTGGTTTTACCTTCACTAAAAACCAACTTCCTTCTGGATTTCAGAAGATCAGAAAAGTTATCAAAACATGTTTAACTGAGAACATTTAAATCATAGAACACTAGAGCTGGAAGGAACCTCAAGAGGTCATTGAGTCCAGTCCTCTGACCTCATGGCAGGACCCAGTACCGTCTAGACCACCCCTGATTAGATGTCTATCTAACCTGCTCTGAAATATCTCCAGAGATAGAGATTCCACAACCTCCCTAGGCAACTTATTCCATGTTTAACCATGTTCAGTTTCTATTCTGTTAGTGGCAAGGAGGCTAGATCTACATGTATCAATTCCATAGCTTAAGTTGAAATAGCTTAATTCAGCTTTTGGTGCTGTCTACACTGCAAGAAGTTGAAGGAAGACTTCCCTTACTCCTTGTGGAATGAGGGTTACAGGAGTCGGAATAAGAAGTCCTCCAGCTCACAACTATTTTGAAAGAATGGCTTGCAGTGTAGGCAAGCTCTTTGTAATAACATCCAAAATAATACTGCTGTATAGACATCCCATCAGGTATATGTTATAGGCCCCTCAAGCAGGGAGCTTTGGCACCCAAAGCCATCAAAAGAGCAGCCTCTATACTCTTTGGCTGTGTCTACACTGGGCCACTTATTCCGGAAAATCAGCCGATTTTCCGGAATAAGCTGCGAGCTGTCTACACTGGCCCTTGAATTTCCGGAAAAGCAACGATGCTCTACTGTACAAAATCAGCCACTATTCCGGAAAAACTATTCTGCTCCCGCTCGGGCATAAGTCCTTATTCCGGAACACTGTTCCGGAAAAGGGCCAGTGTCCCAATCGCGAAAATGACGATCAGGGCACTTTTCCGGAAAAGCGCGTCTACATTGGCCACAGATGCTTTTCCGGGAAAAGGGCTTTTCCGGAAAAGCAGCCTGCCAATGTAGACGCTCTTTTTCCGGAAATACTTATAACGAAAACTATTCTGTTTTAAGCATTTCTGGAAATTCATGCCAGTGTAGACACAGCTTTTATGTAATGGTATTTATATCCTGGATATGGAGGCTGATCGATAAGGAAAATGTGGGTATGCCTACATTACCCTCCTAGTTCGAATTAGGAGGGTAGTGTAGACATACCCTGTGAGAATGCTTCAGAATCATAGGACTGGAAGGGACCTCAAGAGATCATCAAACCCAGTCCCTACACTCACTGCAGGACCTATCACCGTCTAGCCCATCCCTGACAGGTATTTGTTTTCAATTTGTTTCAGATCATGGATGGTTGTGTAATGTACTTCAAACAGATACTGTATTTGATTTTTAAATCATTTTGAAAATACTTCTAGTATTTTTTGTTTTCTTCGTATTAAAATTTTTCAAAGTTTAGAATGCCAGTACAAAAACACAACCAATTGTGACCAAATAAATATAAATTAATATAAGGCAATATAGAATTAGAAAATCATACTAAAATTACACTTTCATTAAAATCTATAATACAAGAATATTAAGGTTACAAAGCCAAATACTCAAAAATGTTGATATGTCAGAATTAAGCTTGTATATGCAACCTTACTTTGGCCCTTGTGCACATATGTATTATGATGTAGTCCTTAATTACAAGATCACAACCTGTTTTCCATCGAAACCCTGACTCATGATCTGAAGTTTGAACTCTGAAAGGGTGCATCCACACAGCATCGTTATTTCAAGATAACTAGCATTATTTTGAAATAACAATGCGAGCATCTACACAGCATTCTGTTATTTCGAAATAATTTCAGAATAATAGGCGGCTTATTCCAAAATCTGTAAACCTCATTCTATGAGGAATAATGACTATTCCGAAACAGCTATTTCAAAATAAGGTGTGTGTAGATGCTCCATCACTGCTATTTAGAAAGAGCCCCATATCAGGGCCATTCTAAGTTATTCCTCCTGGGGCCTAAATCGAGATAGCACGTCTACATTAGTGAAGCCTGCCTTGGACTAATTTTGAGGCTTCCCTGCAGTGTAGACATGCTATTTCAAAATAAGTTATTTCGGAATAGCTTATTTTGAAATAAGTGTGCAGTGTAGATGTACCCAAACTGTCCAGAAAAAAAATGAATTCCAATGCAGACACAAGACATAGAAAGTTTTAATCCAAACAGTTAAAGTTTGTCAAAGTAACAAGCAACTAAAAAGAGAGTCTTATAATGGAAAGTGTTAGGTGGCCTTACCTATGGGTTATGTTACTAGCTTCTCCTACAATAAATGTCTGGCTCAATAGCTTAATTACTGACACAGCACCTCACCTATTCACAGAGAGCCCCAAATTCAAATAATATCTCACAGGTCATAAAAATACAAATAGGTTTCCAAATATACCTATTTAAATCCCACTAACTTGTATATGTTCATTTTATTTGAAAGATGTCAGTGATGAAAGAGCACATTCTTGTGGAAAAAAAGAAGCCTGTTCATCCAAGATCCCCATTATAGGTCCAAATGCAGAATTCAGCCCTTAGCTAAATACTGTCTTTTCAGAAGACAGAAATGCTTTACCACTGTAAATTGATTAAATAGATTTATTAGTGTTCTTAACTTCTTTTCTTTAAACAGAATGACTCTACTTATTTATGGAACCCCGATTAAAATAATTATACTTGGCAAAATTTCTTATTATTTACAACTTGGACTATGTAATGCCTTGAGTCTCGCAAAGAAATCATGACATGCCCAGAAGGCTTTTAATCTCTCTAAACTTTTAGCATTTTAGATACATGCAGTGTTCTTGAAGCTATTAAATACTGCATCTTGCTCTAAATATGAAGCAATTTCTTGATGACACATTGCTCATTTGTTGGCTCTTTGAAGAAATAATAATGTAACTTTTATCATTAGACTTAATTCTACACAGTCCATGTTATCCCATTGTTCTATCAGGTCTATCTTATTTGTAATATTCTAACTAAATAGAACAGCCTTCTGACATAGGATGCACACTTTTTCCAGTAATGTTCTTTATTTAAGGCTCATGAAAGTAAAGACTAATAACAGATCCCAATCTTCATCTCCAAAAAAACCATTAATTCCTTTCTCCTCTCTCTCCCTTTCCTCAAATTGTTACACTCCCTTGTTTAATCTCTCTTTATTAGACCATAAACTCTGTGCAGAAATTGTAATTCCATTAAAATCAACGGAATAACTCCAGAAATAAAATTTGCCCCATTCAGTAGGACAGCCAAACAAACATTTCACTCTGAATATTGTATGCAATTAATTGAGCCCCTTTTTTCTGCAACAATACAATGGTGTCATCAAATTGATTCATTATTTATATTTCATCAACCTTTTTACCCCTCTGGATTGATTACAAAAGTTATCTTAAAGTATAGAGTAGTCAATTTGAGCTTTGTTTTTTAGTTACAACTCATTAGATACAGCACTCGGCACTGTTGTGTACAAAGACGCTCAATATCATGCTTCCACTTCCACAAATGCTAGCTCTGAAATGCACATTAGGCAACCATTTATGGGAGTAAACCTTGCACCTCAACATTTTAGGAAAGCAAACACAATCGGAGTTCAAGAAAAGCTAAATTAAACTCATTTTAACATTCAAGCATGCTGTATTTAAGGAAATTACTTTTGCAATGTTTGCCCAGCTCCAATTCCATCACTGAAATACAACAGCAGACAGCACACTGAAATGTAGCAATGATACTCAGCAGTTGTATTATGTATGCTTAGTAATTCTGAAGAAGGTTTAATTACATGCAGAAATTGTGTACCGTAGAGATAAAAATAACAATGTACCCTCCATTCCATTAGAGATGGGAATGCTGCCTAAAATTTCAAATGTATTTTAGAGTTACTGTTTGCTGTCCAAGTTCCAAGCTCCTCTAAAAGTATTTTTACTGGCAAGATTCATCAAACAGCATGTGCCTTTCAGAGAAGAGATAAGCCTTCATGCTTCAGGATATAAGCCAGCTAGAAACTGATGGGGGTGAAGAAGAAATCTGCCTACTAGGCAAG